CTTTTCGGTGTCTTTTGGTGTTAGCAATGTCAAGTCAATTAACCGATTTATATAGGGTTGTTCCTCACGCTGCATGTGGTCTTGCATGAGCAAAAATGTAAACGGAAAGATGCATAGACGTTGCTCTTATTGTTTGTGTCACAAGACTCGCTGCATTGTATAACTGTCCCCAGCCATAGTGCCTTACATATTTGAGGTTGTTAATGTTACTACTTATATATGACTATATACATGAATATTAATGTACTGGACTGCAGCACTTGAAATTCCAATCAGTCGATGCATCCTATGTGTGAGTATATATATGCACACGTGTATATGTCCATGCATAGCCTGCATGGATGTGATGTATCGCGGATAGCGGTGCTTATCTTTTGGAGTCAGTGTATATTTCAGTGTGTAGTGAGTTACTTTTCTGTTCTTTAAGAACAGCATGCTTTGCTGTTGCGAATGCTTACTGTTTTCATAAAAAAACATTTTTCGTTTTTGTTTTTTTAGTTCTCCCTTTCCCCCCGAATGAACTAGTGTACAAAGTGCAAGTACTGAGTATTGCTTAATATTTGATAATCACTTTCTATTTAGTGAAACTATTACTACAAACAGTATTTGTACTGTTTGATGAAACTGCAATACAATCTAAATAGTTGTTGATTCGTTTTCTTTTCTCGTCTTCGTATTTTCATTTTGAGTGTTTTCACTTTGTTTCTTAGGTGTTTAGAAGTGTGGTGGGCATGGCTTTGATTAGGTAAGGAAAAAAATGCAAATTAATTCACGGTATGGAATTTTCTAAGCCTGAGCAAACCATGCAGTATTCGATATACACACATATATGGACATATATTATAGAGCTAGACTATTTAGTACAGATGCTTGATAAGGTGTGAGTTAATTGTGTGCAATTCTCTCATTTATGCATGTGTGACAAAGTTAACTTTTTCCCTTTACATTATACCATTTGTTAAAGGCTTAAGGCTTATCGGTGTCGACTGCTTATTTTATACATTCCGTCAGGGAGGATATATACATATATATATATGATGGTAGCACCAGTCTATATATATGTAGATATGCTGTGTGTGCATTTTATCTGTTCATTTTACTAGTTATGTGTTTTTTTTTTTGTCTTTTATTTTCAAATGAAGTTGCTTGTGCAGCACCAAAGACTGTAATTCATTTCCTGAGCAAGGTAGCTATTCTGTTTGCATAGACCTCAGTTATACTGTAGTCGTAGAATGGGGTTAAATTAAAACAAACAAAAAAACATTGTATTTAAAAAAAACAAAAAAAAAAACAACACGGCCGAGGTTTTGTCTAGCTTATTGGGCAATTAATAAGTCGTATCATTTCTTTCTTGAATGTATCATAGATAAGCTGCTATATGATGATTGCCACTTCGATAGCTGTGAAATTAGGTGATTTCTCTGAGTTTAAACTTAGCGTTGCTATTTTTGTATAGGTCCCTAATTATCTGAAATAGAAGTGGTTTTTTGATTTTTGTGTTTTTGAGTTCATATTTGGAGTGTCATTGTAACTACTGTATTGCTGATGATGAACATTAGTTGCATTTGTTGTTTCTCGGGGTGTGTGTTTTTGCATCAGTATTTTATCCTTATTAACCTTTCGGGCTCATCACTGCATATAAATGATGTATCGATGTAACTTAATTTTTGTATGTTTTCATATTGACGTTTTGTACACATCTAAAGCTGTAGCTTGCAGGATTGATTTAACTTTTTCATTGTACGTATCTACGGTATACTACCAGTACTCTGCTGTGTGTGTCACAGGAGCACTGTGAGATGCCAGAAAAGAGAAAATCCATTGTGTTCATTGAGAAGCTTCAGTAATGTTTCCACCGATTACACAGAAGCACACTCGCCACTAAGCACTCATACAGGTAGTTAGGCTTGTAAGGGTTCGGGATTGATTGGACTGTGTGTTCAGAACTAAATTAAGCCCAATGTTTCTGTTCCAAAAATAATGTTTTACAACTCGTTTTACTGTTAAATTGATTTGATCAAATATTTATTGCAACCTTTTTAACTGTTCAATGTTATATCCGGCTAGAATATCAGCTTCACAGCTTGTTATTCTAAACTGCCTTGTGTTCGGATCGCTCTCCCCTTTATGAGTGTCTCATATCGAAATGATGTTTTGTCAACGCAAAACTGTGGCCATCGTTATGTGTTCCTTACCGAAATTGAGACAGTGTGAGCAACACTGTGTACGTGCCTTGAGCTTCAGAAAGTGAGAATTCAAGATGGTGATTCTTCACCTCTTATATGAGGAGGAAGGCATAGAATCCACCAACAGTCCGTTACCATATAGAGTAGGCAGTCTTTCTACGGCCACATGACCAGGAATAATAACAACAAAAACACAAAATAGGATTTCATCACAGTGTCATTCCAGGGACTCGTGCTCCTCTGATAACTTTGACAGAGGACATGCACATGGTGGTGGTGCTCTTTGTTTCAGATAGCCGCCGCCAAAGCCTCTCTGTGATAACACACACACACACACATACAAAAAAACACAGACACACACACTTTGAATGATATGACACTCGACGATCTTTGGATAGTCACTCTGGCTGAACAGCAGATGCAATACTTTACATTGTGCGGTCATTGCACCACCAAGTGTTCTTAGATAATCTCCATGCTTTACATTACCTTGCATGTACACCTAAGTTGCTTCACTTTGTCTGCCTCGAAGCTGTCTGCTCAGAGCAGCTTTTCCATCGTGCAAGTACAGGCTGAGCGGGAGTAACCAGAGCACAGCTGACAACACTGGCCTTTAAAAAAACAAATCCGAGGAGCCAGTGCTTTATATCCAATCTTATCTGGATTCTGTGCTCTGGATGGAAACTCTCTGTCAAGGAGATTATTGTGGTTTCTCTGCACAGTCAGTCATGAGTGCAATACTCCACATTTAAACACTGACATTGATATGGTTTTTTTGAAAGCTTTTTTTTATATATATATTACTTGTACGCTTTACCGATCGTACTCGAGTATCATTTTGGGAAATTAAGATGACGATGACAACAAGGCATGAACTTGGCAGATTAGTGCTTGAAATAGTTCCCCAATAATACGCATGTTGAAATGAAATCTGTGTTTTGATTCCTCCAAAGGTATTCACCAGCAATGCGCCTGCATAAACTCTCCCATACTTGTTAGGAAAAGAATGGATGCAAGTGGAGAGATATCTTAAATCTGTTTTTATTTTCCACATGATTGACACCTTGGGTTTTATGGATTTTTTTTTCTTTTTTTAAAGATTCATGTAACATTTAACAGATAAAAATGGTCGTTTGTAAAATTACTACTATTAAAGTTATGACTTTGATATCAGAAAACAAATCCTCTGCTGCGGTATTATCCTTTAGAGATGTTAATTCAGGGTCTGTATTAGTCTAAATGTACTACTGTGTTACTCTTTGCTTTGATTTGATAAGATTTGTTTTACTCGAGCTCTTATTTTTCTGGTCATCTGTATCAATTTCAGAGTTAATTCACACTGCAAGTTATGGAATCATCTGTTTAGATTGCTCATCAAATAGACTTGATTATGAAAAATCAGAACTGTTACTGTTTTAATACCTGTAGATTTTTTGTGGCTTTGTTTTATTTTATTTTTATTTTTTTTCGTTTCATTTTGCTTTTTTTATTTTGTGCTACACTAGTTTGCCATGTAGCAATTGCACTGTGCAATATTTACAGTATGAGGACTGGGAAAACTAACTCTATGGATGTGATGTCTCAGTTTGCGATAGTGTTTCCTCTCTAGTTCTCAGTGATTTAGGTGTGACCAAGCCTTCTCTACTTTGTCACATTAAGCGGGTTTTCCAGGTGACTCTTTTGGTGAGTGTCAAAATAAGACTTTATCGTGTATTATTGTTAAGATTCACTTTGAATTAAAAAAAATCTATTGATGCAGCTGTTTCTGACTTGGTCTGTTTTCACCATCATTTAATTCATTCAGATCCTTTTTATTTAGTATGGAACACATGCATGTACAACAAATCTAATTGGTCATATTACAACTTCTACACCACATTGTCAAACAGTGCTAGTTAGTGTTTCCAAATTTGTAGTAGGAGGAAAGGACCTGCAACTGATTTGTGTTTTTTAGTTTGTCATAAACATTTCTGAGTTAATTTCTGGGTGATGTACATCACAATTTTCCAGACACGTTCACATCCCTTGTTTTGCCTGACCTCTAAGATGTTGAATTTGAAATGATACCAAAAAGAGAAAAGCAGCAAATCCTCACATTTGAGAAACTGAAATCAGGGTGTTTTTTTCAATATTATCAAAATTGTTGTGAATTAATTTTCTGTCTGTAAAATGCTGGATTGGTGATTAAGTTTCTGTTCCGAAACACACAAAAGATTTGGACAATTCGTGGGAATAATTCCATTCTTACTGTGCAAATTTCATCTGATGATGAAGATAATTTTATATGACTGAGAGCTCAGGAACACAATAAGTGGACCCTGTGGTGAGATCTCAAATAATAACATGGGCGAGCACTTCACAGCATATCCTAGATTCAATTTAAAACAAAAGAACAAAAAAAATAATAAAATGAAATAAAAATAAAAAATAAAATAGAATAAAAATAAAAAAAAATGAAATGAAAAAATAAAAATAAAATATAGCAATAACAATAATAGTAAATAATAATAAAATGGTTATTAGTGTTATTATTATTGCTAAATATAAGATATGATAAGATATATCTAATTGTACCTGGATGCAATACCCAGCTACAATCAACATGAAGCATTGGTAAACCACAACAAAACACATACATACAACAACAACAACAACAACAACAACAAAAAACAACAGGTTATATAATGTATTGCACATGCCTTGAGAAAAGCTATAAATACACAGGCATTGCAGAAATTATAAGGAAGTCATTAAGTCATTATTGTGATTATAAAACGAAGCCAGTCAAACGAGGTTACTCTAATTTCCTACACTACCCTGCAGCCCCTAACATGCACCTGTAGTTCCGGGTCTGTGCTGACATCTTGTGGCGGTGAGGAGGTACAGCAGCCGTTCTTGTATCTACTCAGTCAGATATTCAGGTAGTAATTACTGTAGCCATGTGGACACATTGTATATACCTCTTAGTGGAGTTAAAGGAAAACCGTAAAGTCACCCTTTGTATATGTATCCGCCATATGTGTGAGCAGTCTGAGATGTGACCTGCTGCATATGGACATGTGTGTTGCGTCACTCCTCCAGCAGAGGTCGCCCTACAGTCTGCTCGCTTTGACTTTCTCCCGACAATTAACAGCACAGAGGCTAATTTGCTCAGTTAGACCAGAGGGGTGTTTGACTTTAAATCTGTGACCCAGCTGCGTCCTTATCTTTATATTTGTGGCTACTTGTCTCTTGAGCCCACTCAAATGTCTGTCACGCACGCGGAGCAGGTCAGTGCGAGGCAGTTTACCGCCAACAGCTAAATGTCAAACCTTTGGCAAAGTGTGCGCGCCTCCCTGCGCCACTCGGTGATGATGGGTGGACCGAGCGGAGCGGAGGAGCGATAGGGCGCATTTCTTAATTTCCCTTCAACGCCGCGTCCCCGTCTCCCCCCCTCCAGCCCTGGACACCACGACGAGACCGCGGGACCGCTGTGTTTCCCGTTCACGCACGAGGATTGATCCAATGTATTATTTACGACCGAAACTTCAGCAACTTATCCACTGGATATGGCTCCCGGTGTGAGGAGTGGGCGGACAGGTCACCCCAAAGTGGTGGGAGCCGGCGGAGCGGAGCCCGGTGGGTGCTCGCCGCGGAGGACCGATGCCGGAGGAGAGGGGAGGTGTTTGAGGACCAGGTGGCGAGTCGGAGCAGCGGGGATGCTTGCGAACTGTCTGCTGTCTGTGGGGACGCTTTTACTTCTTGTCCGGTGCGCTTTGGCCGCAGAGGGTAAGCACACCGCCGAGCTGTCTGCTCCCAACAACACACACATGCTGATGTGTTGCATTAACCTCTGTCACATCCACACTGCCAGTCACATCTATTGTGAGGAGTTGGATCACAGTCGGCGGAAAATGGGTCTTTTGTCTCACACAGGCTGCGTTTTGTAATCCGCACATCTAATGCTGCTCATTACACATAGCCTACAGGCTGTGTGGATGCCTCTGTAGCTTGCTGTGTCATTTATAGTCAAACAAAAACTACATGTGATCCATAAGCTGTCCACAAATGCTGTGCCATGAAGAGGGTTGTTATTGCATTGGAATTTGCGCAGTCAGGGGAGTGTGTCCAAACGGCTATTATCCAGGATTGGTTCCCCTCACTGACCGCACTGGCATGATATATTGTATGAGAGATTGTGTTGATGCTGGAATGCGCAGGGGTTTGCTTGTACGTGATGTAACTCCCTGTCACCTTCCAATCTGTCCACCTGACGCCAGTCAACTCTTTTGTCTCTGTGATCATCAGATTGCACTGCACATACCTCAAGCCTCTGCCTCTCCTCTGCAGCTGGATGTGATCTCAGCCTCAACTTTGTCTTGCACCTCAACTTCACTCCCCCTTTGTTCTGCACTGGGCATCTCATTTTGCGTTCATTTCCATGATGGAGGTTATTATTCAGTGTAATGAGCTGAGGGGACTTTTATTCTGGGGGAAATACAGAGCAGTCACAGGACAGTCAGTGTTTCAGAGCATCTGGGTCAGCACTAATGACACACATACTGTAGCCCACTGGAGGTCTGTGTGTCTCTGGCGGCATGAGAGGCAGCTGGGGTAAGGTTGGCCGACATAGCTGCCCTTCAACCATAAATGCATGGGAGGGAAAGGCTTGACTGCAAAAGACAAGTCTGCATGTGCACTGATTTGGCTGCATCACCTCATTTTCCCTCTCCTGTGGCTGTTTACACCACCCCACTGTGGACGGCTTTAAAACACTCTGGTTTTAGCAGCAGAAGACAACAAGATGTTTAGGCGAGTGTTAAGTGTGTGTATCTAACAGGGGCTCCATCACCTCCCTCCAGTCTGCAAACTGTGATGTAGTGGCTGTAGTCTCACCTCTGCTGATGCACTGCTACAGTAGCAGAGTCTCCTCCTCCTCCTCCTCCACCTCCTTCTTCTCACAGTCAGCACATCCATTCTTAAGCACATGAGCCCAGCAGCAGCAGCACCTGAGCTATACAGTACATATTTGGTGGAGGAGACATATGTACACTCTGAGTACTCGCCTACGACAGACTATAGGAGCAGGAAGCTGTGCTCTTGGACTGTAGTCTTTTGTGTAGATACATGAACTGGTTCACTGAGAGTGAATGCTTGTTTTTTTTGTTTGCACTGGTTGACTGAGTGTTTACAACAGTCGCTATACTGTCTTTTAGTAGTGTTACTGGTGTGAAACATGGAGGATGTGCTCCCAGCTCCAAAGAAAACCCCCCATGATCCTGGAGTTGCCTTCAGTCACAATGAGTATCTTCTGTGTAACTACTGATGGAGCACACAGGGACCTCATCCTCTTTCAGTTAGATTATATTTATGGTTCAGTAATGATGTGAATGTAATTTCTAAGATTTGGCTTATACCAGATCTCCTTCTTCCTTGGTTCCTCAGGGATCTTTAATTGGACAGATTATTGAGTGAATTAGGGATGCACCCATTACGATGTGCTGGTATTGGCGCAGATGTTGACCTTATTAAACAGATCAGGTACTGGCCACAATGTGACCGACGTGCATTTAAGACCATTTCTTTGTCAACGCCATTATGAAATCATGTGTTTCCTTCATCAGTTACTTTCATTCAGTTATGGCCAGCCACTGATCAGTTATTAGAGCTGGCCTCATATTACCTTACATAAAAAAAAAGACTCAATATGAGCTACACTTGGGCTGCACAATATCATTTTTTAAACTGTCATCACCAGGGCTGGGTAGTATATCGATATTAAATCGATATCGTGATGTGTGACTAGATATTGCCTCAGATTTTGAATATGGTGGTATCACAAGTGTTGTCTTTACTGGTTTTAAAGGCTTCATTACAGTAAAGTGATTTATGTAGACCCCTTTTACCAGACTGTTTTAGCTGTTCTATTAGTCAGCCCTGCAATACATGGTGTCTACAGGTCCTTAAATTCAATGTTAAATAGAAGGCATTAAAAGTCAATAATTATTCTTAGTCTTAAATTAGAGTTTGTGAGGTCTTAACTACAAACATTTTATCTAATTTCATTTATCCATTTTGAATTTCTTTTTGTGAAAGTGAGTGAAGCCTTTCTATGTTAAAGTCCACATTTCTAATGTTACAACTCTTTAAAAAACTATAACACTGTCACTTTGCTTCATATTTGCACTTACCTGTTGGCAAAATGTAGACTGACTTAACTCACTCCAGTAACCATAATCCTACATAACACTTAGCTCTGCACAAGACCACATATATACCACTTGCCTGCGGTGCTTACCTGCCATGCCTGTGATTTGGTTAAAAGGTGTCCATAACAGGTCTTAAAAAGCATTAGATTTAACTGTCTGATACCTGTAGACGTTTTGCAATATCATCGCAATATTGAGGTATTTGTTAAAATATATCGTGGAATATGATTTTCTCCATATCGCCAAGCCTTACCATGATGTCAGCTTGCACGATAAACCTCAAATGTGCAGTGTGTCAGTTTTAGGGGGATTTAGTGGCATCTAGGCAGGTTGGGGCAGTGGTTAACATTGTCGCCTCATGGCATGAGGGTTCCTGGTTCAATTCCACTGTGAGGATTCGAACCCTGGGGTGTGGGAGCCCTTTTGTGCAGAGTTTGCATGTTCTCCCCATGTACTCTCTGGGTACTCCCAAAATCCAAAGACATGCAGGTTAACTGGTGACTCTAAATTGACCGTCGGTGTGAATGTGAGTGTGAATGGCTGTCTGTCTCTATAGCCCTTTTTAGATAGGAATTGTGCAAATTTGCAGGACAGCCCAATCAGTCTTTTTTCAGCATTGGCAGCATGAAAACAAAATTTGGGAGGGCGGAAAATTGCGGCCTACCTACTTTTGTTTATACAGAATGCGCCTTTTTCGGGGCAATGGGGGGTGTGAGCAAGTAACAAAAGGTGTAGATAGATAGTGTAGTCACGTAAACAGTGACGTGGGAGGGAAGCCGCGGCTAGTCAGGTGGCGGCAGTCAGACGGCGATTCTCTCGTAAATCGGCCCGTTCTTCACCGTCCCCGTCAAATGACGGTTAATGGCCTCTTTGTTTGCGAGGGCAAGGAGGGTGTGTAATGCCTTGTCTCCCCAGTTGCTCATCTTTACAGTGTCTGTCAGGTTTGCGTTTCCCTCTTGCTACTAGCTGCTCGCTAATTCCTGCTATCAACTGTTTCCTGTTTATCCACCGCCAGTGGGTCGCACGTGCAGCGCACTGTTGCCAACTCCTCAGTAAGAAAAGTAGCTATTGGCTGTCCTAAAAGTCGCTAGAACTTGCTAAATGACGTCATCGCCTAATTTGCATAATTGTCCATATGCATGTAATTGTAATGGATGCTGTAGGAGAGAGGAATAACATCGTGGGAGAGACAAAAACTGAGTAAAAAAACACCCTGAATATGTTAAGAACGACAAATGAACCTTTTTTCAGTGATTTATATTAGACAAAGAAA